CGCCTGCAGCTGCCCTAAGGCCGTTGGGAGATCTTCGGGAGAGCTGCAGGCGTTCTCTGACGATGAGACGGCCCTCGCGTACGAGACGTCGCTCCTGATTGTGTTTCTTCCGACAGGCCTTGGGTTTGTGGTCTATCTGTTTTTGTTCGGCCTATCTGAGCCCTTTTATTTTCAGTGCGTTCTGGGCACCCATGGAAGCTCGCTGGGTGTTCTCCCTTGCAGTTAAAGCATCGCAAGGGCGAGTTTTTAGGTCTTTAGCATTTCTTGGTCATGTGACGTCCGGCACATCTGACGCAGGCTGGAACTGATTCACAGTTGCCTTGCGTATGACCGAACTTTTGGCATCTGTTACATTGACCCGCTCGGTTTCTTGGCTTCTGTGTTTCGGCGCTTACACGTACGTTTTGAATTTCGGTGATCTCATATATTTTGTTTTGGCTCCTTGGGACCAAAACAAGCACGAACGGTATCGGTACCTTGTTAGCTTTACTCAGGCGGGCTACGGAAAGGATCTCAAATCCTTTGCCCTGGAGTTCGGTCTTGATGTTGTCACACTCCATCGACTCCGGGACCCCGCGAAAAACTACTCTGAGTGGTTTTTCGCTTTCCATTGTATAGGTGTTGTAGGGTATTTTTTCTTGATCGAGGATCCGAGTAATTCTCCTATAATCATCAGTATTTTTAAGATGGACTTTAATTCCATCTGTTGTGTTCACCGCCCCCAATATGGAGATGTTTTGCGCAGCAGCAATCCACTTTTCTTTTGCACGGATGGTTATAGGTGGAGGCTTATTAGCTTTTTTGTGTGTTTCTGCCCGGTCATTTTTCGGGGCGTCTGTTACTAGTACTTCGTCGCCTACTTTCATTGAGTCAGGTGGCGGGACTTCTGTTTCCTCTGTATTTACCGACTTAGTTTTCTGAGTAGGCTTATGAATTTGATCTTTCAGTACCACGCCCGGCTTTTGTGATACGGCGGGTGTGGTTTTATTTGATTTTGGCTCTTTTTGCCCTCTTTTTTGGGACCTTTGTCGCTTGGCTTTCTTCGCCCGACATAATATCGTCGCTGTTCAGTCCGCTGATGTCAGAGTCGGAGTCGATAAGACGATGAATTAGAATTTTTTTGTTTCTCAAATTCAAGTCCATTCTCTTTGCAAAGAATTTATATGCTTCCACTAGTTTGATACTACTCATTTCATAGTATTCTGTAATAGTTGATATTATAGCCAGACCTGCATCTTTTGGCTTTTTACGAACTTTCGTAAAATTGGAAATCGTTTCTATAACTTGTTCCATTTTGAAAGATATATGCTACGCTTCGAAATTAGCACAACAAAAATTAGTGCATTGTTAATCGCGAAATTTGAAAACTGAACAGTATCCGGTAAAATGTCACTTCGTCGATATTGCATCTAGTTAATGAAAGTCGCCACTCTCCGACGCATTTTAATCTAGCAGCCGGTATAATAGATATAGAATTTATAACAGAAAAGGTTTAAAGGCACACAAAGCCGGACCCGGGCGCAGTCTATATGGAAAATCTGTTTTCATATTGAGCCGATACTCTCATAAATCATGAGGCTACAAAAGCGATTTAACGGGTATAAAACGGTGATATGAGTTTATAAATCAAAGTGTTTAACATTGCGAGTGAAAAACTAACCGATACCTCGCATAACTCCCCGATGAATGCTGGAATTGTGTTACGAATAACTTCCGGACACCTGCCATGGTTGTGCACTGATCGATAAATAGAAGCACTTCAATTATTTCCTGATTTTTTTTGAGGCTGATGTTGAGGCTGTGATGAACATCTTAAAATATCAATGTTTGGCCGATTTAATTCGTTCCAGAACTGGTTCAGAATACAGAATCATTCGAAAGCGAGAAGAGTGACGAGTGAAACAGTGAAATAAAAACATTTTTTTTACAGTTCAATTGAATTATATTGCTGAGTTGTGACGTACGTTGTTGAAAACATTCAGAAAATTCTAAAAATCAAACGATTTATTCATTAATTGGTACAGCAATAAGGACACTGGACAATGGGAGTCCAAACCTATAACATTGGACTAGAAACTGCATAATCAAGATTTTATATCTGATTTGAAGGAATTGATATTTCTCCTGTTACCAATTTTTGTACAATTCCATACGGAAGATTTACCAATCATACTTCGATCGTAACTTAATCGTCTGTATTCGTATATCTCCAGTTCTCTCAAAGCCCGTTCCTCACAAGTAATCTTTTGATGATTTTCCGTAAAAAGGTATCTGAGGAAGATGAAGATATCAGAATAGTTATTGAACATCGTGGTTGAAAACAACAACGGGGTCGAAGAGAATATTTTAATGATGAACATTTCAGAATACCAATATTTCAATGTATTTTTCTGATCCTTCACGTGAAAAAACAGTACAGTACAACGAAGGTAACAATGACCCTCAAAATCCTCAAAACCCTCATAACCCCTCAAAATCCTCCCAAAATTTCCTCAAAAAACGAAAAAAGCCCTCAAATTCCTCATAACCCCTCAAAATCTCTTCATGATGTCGCAGAAATAATTCTGACGTAGTTGAAACGGAAGTTATCAAAGTGGTTTTATTCATTTCTGTGTGACTTGGTAATTCAACGATTCATCAGAAGTTTCTCATCGTTAATCAAATATTTGAATCTCCAGACCAATCGTCTGCTAGATTCGAAACATAACTTACGACATCAACCATCACATTTTTTCACATTCTTCAACAATTCATTATACAATTGCATTTCCATATAATTCCAGGATGAGAAGGGTTCATTGAATAGCAATTCAAGGTGTAACAAATACAATGAAATTGTCTAATATCAAAAGGGTAGCGGAAAAGCTGTCGTAGGAGTCAGATACAAAAATTACCCTCGCCCGATCATTGCTGTAAAATAAATAACACATGTAAAGACGTCATCCATGCAACCAATAACACTTCCCGGAAATTCATAACATCCCATTACAAAAGCTAAAATCACCCGTAATATACACCCACAATGACTGCAACATAATCGACTCCTAATCGAAATCAAATCATACTAAAACCTACTAAAAGCTCACCTATGATTACACCGCTGACACGCGAAGCACTCTAGATGATAAACGTTAACTCTGGCCCTCATGACCATTTGAGTATTTGTTCTATTGTAATATCAACAGAAAACATGCTCTTGAATGAATCGTTACAAAAATATTTTTCTGTGTTTTCGAACCGTTCATCTATTTTTTCAAAGTAGTGCTAATAGACGAGATGAGAGTTCGAGAAATAAGAGATCGCACATGAAAGTCCATCCACATACTTGAGTTTGATGAGAATGCCACTGTTACAAATACAATAAACAGAAGAGGCCCCAGAATCGATCCTTGAGATACTCCACAAGTGATAAGTTCAGATGAACTGTTTGAACATAATTCACTCCTGGATATTACAGGCTTAGACTTCTATTTTCTGCAAATGTGCAGATTCGAAAAAACAGTTCAATTAAAATGAATGAGTTATCAAAATCAATTTCAATTCTGAAATCACCATGAAGCACATATTCAGAGAAATCAGTTGAGAAGGAACTGATATCAAAAATGAGAAGAATTTCATTATTAATTTCAGAAATATAAAAACGTTACTTTGTAATGAAAACAAATTACTTATTTTGACTTGAATTGAAAAATGTCTGAGTAATTGAGTCAAATGTCAAATTTATTCAAACAATTAGCTCAGTTTTTGTGAGAATGCCCTGATTTGAAGTTAGTTCTGATGTTATACTCAGACTTAATTATTTTTATCTTTTCGACAGTCCTCTGACTGGTTGAGAAGGCAAATCTAAAGAAATTAACTTTAAACGTTCACTGCCAGTCTTCAAGCATAGCCCATAGACTAATGAGGAAATGATTGACAAGGCTTTTGTTTCTTACCGGTCTTTCATTTTCTTCAAGCCAACATTATTATCCACCAGTTTTTCGAATCAATTTTGCTAGAGACCTTTTTTGAAGTAGCCTAAGTAGATATCCCAAAAAGGTGTCTATTTCCTGGAAATGTATCTCAACCAAACTTAATATTTGTTGTGGATTTCTTTAACAGGTGATATTCCAAACTCTTTCATGTACAAGCGATCTATAATAGGGTCTCATCCTATAGAGATAATCCAAAAAGGTGTCTAGTTCCTTGCAATGTATCTCAACCAAACTTAATATTTGTTGTGGATTTCTTCAACAAGTAACATTCCAAACCCTTTCATGTGTAATTTGGCTATAATAGGGTCTCATCCTATTGAGATATCCCAAAAAGGTGTCTGTCTAGTTCTTCGCAATGTATCTCAATCAAACTTGATATTTGTTGTGGATTTCTTTAACAAGTAACATTCCAAACCCTTCCATGTATAAGTTGGCTATAATAGGGTCTCATTCTATTGGGATATCCCAAAAAGGTGTCTAGTTCCTTGTAATGTACCTCAATCAAACTTGATATTTGTTGTGGATTTCTTTGACAGGTAACATTCCAAACCCTTACATGTATAATTTGGCTATAATAGGGTCTCATCCTATTGAGATATCCCAAAAAGGTGTCTAGTTCTTCGCAATGTATCTCAACCAAACTGGATATTTGTTGTGGATTTCTTTAACAGGTAACATTCCAAACCCTGTCATGTGTAAGTTGGCTATAATAGGGTCTCATCCTATTAAGATATCTCAAACAGATATCTAGTTCCTTGCAATGTATCTCAACCAAACTTGATATTTGTTGTGGACTTCTTTAACAGGTAACTTTTCAAACTATTTCATGTATATGTTGACTTTAACAGGTGAAAGTGTCAATTCTTTTGGCAAACTATCGTCGTATAAAACATCAAATAAACAGAAGTAGCCACAGAACCGATCCTTGAGGTACCCCACCAGTAATATCCCGAAACGAGGATGGTTTCGAGATCCGTAAAACTTTTCAACAAAATCTAATAATATTAAAACCCATTGAAAGCTCACCTATGATTGCACTGTTGACACGCGAAGCACTCTAGATGATAAACGTTACTTCTTGCCCTCATGACCATTTCGAAGGCGGGGATCACTTTTGTACAGGCTGCGCAATAGCCGGTATTACCGAAAAGTCTCAGATAGTCCCTTTTACACAAGATCAGGTTTGCCTTGGTGTACAGAGTGGAACCGACTTCGCCGAGTCTGCAGTCGCAGCAGCCGCATTTGAGACAGTCCTCGTGCCAGAACATGTCGAGTGCTTTGAGCAGATACCGCTCAGTGATGGGTTTGAGGCAACCTGCGCATTCTTGGGGGGCCTGGCCGGGGGTGGTCTTAGTGGCCTCTGTTTTGGATATGTCCATCGTCATCATGGGGCCGTTAGGCCTCGACTTTATCTGTAACAGAAAAAATTTCTTGAATATATGACAGGAATCGCAATGAGAACTGTGAGATATCATCAATTCTCAGCTCGCAGGAATTACAACTACTGCAGAATATCTTTTGCAGGGGACCATCACTTATAGAAGGAAACACTCACAACTCATTTTTACGTCTCTTGAGATCATAATAAATCTATGTAAATCAATGTAATAACCCAGGGGTCTCCAAACTACGGCCCGCGGGCCAAATCCGGCCCGCCAGTGTCATCAATCCGGCCCGCAACAGCCAATAATTACCTAATTGTTGTTACTATTGCTGTGATAAATTGAAGAAGAAAACACAGAATGATAATTACTCGGTTTTATTTACTTGCAAGGTAAAACTTAACGACAGAAATGATGACAGAGAAAACTTAACTCAAGTATCTAAGTTTGAGCATATTAATAACTAACAAATAATGGAAATGAATCACAGTAAAACAAAAACACTAATGGGATTATGTAATTGTGATTTTCACAGACAATACTTTGTAGTTGTGGATCAATTTTACTTGTACCAATTATCAAAAGAGATTTAAGATGCTCATCGGTTAATTGAGATCTGTAAACATTCTTTATGTACTTCATCTTGGAAAACGTTTTCTCACACCAGTAAGTAGTACCAAAAACAGAAAACAATCCACGAGCAAATTTATGCAAATTATCAAATTGTTCCAGTGGAAGACTCGTATAAAATTCCAACAAAGATGAATTTTGATATTTGTTCTTAAGCATATCTCTGCACCGTAAATCAATAATTTTAATTTGGACTTTCGGAGCCAGGGTTTCAATGTCAGAATCAAAAGGATTTTGAAAAAGCTTAATTTAATTCGCAATGACATCAAAATCTGAAAAAAGAGTATCAAAATTTATCTTCAAAGCACTCAAAGTTTCGATTGCAAAATTGACAGGAAATTCAGTCTCTGTAGTGTGGCTGAATATTTCACATGTTTCAAAATGTGTAAAACATTTGTTACGTAATTGCGATTGAAATAGTATTATTTTCTGTCTGATGGATTTGATATTGGTGTGTAAATCAGGGAGAAGCTGATTTTTTTATTACAATCTCAAATTCAGTTCGTTCATATGATTTGTCAAATCGACATAGAAGGCTAACTTCCACATCCATTCACTATTTTCTAAATCGGCAAAAGGGCGCTGCTTCCCATTTAAGAAATGTCGATCTCTGCTCGAAGTTCAAAAAAGCGCTTAAGGACTTTTCCGCAACAAAGCCAGCGTACGGCAGTATGATATGGTAGATCATTTTCTCCAATCTGTTGAATAAACTCGCGGAATTGTCGGTGATTCAGCCCAGTGGATCTGATGAAGTTAACAACTGATATGACTGGTTTGAGAAATTCAGACATATCCAAACATTTTCCGCACAAGGACTGTTGATGAATGATACAATGTGAGACTAATGGTTTTGAACCACCATCATTTTCTACAGCCTTTGACACAAGTGCAACCACTCCTTTATTTTTACCATATTTTTGCCTCCATCAGTTGTAATAGATTTCAAATTTCTCCATCGAAGGTTCTTTTTATTAATGGCATTTTCAACTCCCTTAAAAATATCTGCCCCAGTTGTCGTGCCGTCAATACTATCAATATCAAGAAGTTCTTCATACACTTCATAGCTTTTATTCACTCCGCGAATAAAAATCAACACCTCAACAGTATCTGACACATCCGTTAACTCATCCAATGCTAGAGAAAACCACTCATGATGTCCATTTTTGTCAGACAGTTGAGGTGATATATTTTCTGCGATATCTTGCACCCTCCGAGCCACGGTGTTTGCTAACAAACTGGCACTTTTAAATAAATTTACCTTTTCGGGGCATATTTCTTCGGCTACTGCAATCAAGCATTCTTCCATCATTTCTCCATCGGTGAATGGTTTGCCACGTTTTCCGATTTCAAGAGCCACACGAAAGCTGGCGCGAGTTGCAGACTCTTGTTCAGTATTCGCTTTGGTAAACAAAGATTGCTGCGATTTGAGTCCGCGTTTCAAAGCTTCAAATTTTTCCTTCCGCAAACTTCCTGTATACTTGGAGTAACTTTGAAGATGTTTCGATTCAAAGTGTCGTTTAATGTTATAGACTTTGGGAACAGCTATGGTTTCATTACAAATTAAACATAGCGCCTTATTACTGGACTCAATCACAAAATACTGAAAGTTCCATTTTTTTTGGAACGTTCTGGAACGTCGATTTTTCGCTTCTTTTCCATACTAACAAATCACACATAAAAACAATAAGTCAAATCAAAATACTTTTATTGAAGGGTGTTACTTTATTTCACAATAGACAGTTTCGCTTCCTTCGCCTTTCCTACGCAGACTAACTCGCAGTTGCGCCGCTAGCCTTTTTATATGCAATTATTACTGCCATCTCGAGTTGATCGGAATACACTAGCTAGAACCAGAACTTTCTCGAACCAACGCGGTAATTCCTAATATTTAATTACGCCTAATGCCACCTAGCGGGTAGCTGAAAAAAATAGTACATAGTACCACTACTCGCCACTAGATGTATTCAAGGGTCACAATACACAATGATAATTGAAATGCAAAAAAAGCGTAAGTTTGCTTAGGTCACGCACTTTGCGACTATCCTAGTCTAGGAATATAGTTAAGGGCAGAAATTGGCCCTTGGAACAAACTGAAAAAATCATTATGGCCCGAAGGCTTCAAAGTTTGGAGACCCCTGTAATAACCTACAAATTATCGGGAAAGAAATTGTTTGGCCTTCTACTTCTCCATCTTGATACAAAAAATGTGAAAATATTCCAAAGAAAGGAAGAAAGCGACCAATTTCAAAAATTAACTTAACAAAGATGTGTATCAAGATAGAGAAATAGAAGGCTAACAACTTTCTTTTCCAAAAATATCTCCTGAAAATATACCCTTTCATTGGAATTCTACGGGTGTTGAAACTATTACTGTTTTTGGTACATATTGATGATTTTCGAATTTATGTTTCATATCAGTTTTATAAAAGTAAGCAATGGGCTCTTTGGAATAATGCTTTCGTCACTTATTATAGTTCTGATGCCATATTTTACTATTCGAAACGTTCTAAAGCATCTTTTTCATGACTGTTATACTATGTGTGACGAAAGACATAAAACTTTTCTAGTCTCCGAAATCTGATCTGTGCTGCATGTTCTTTGAAACCAGATCCAATAGCTTGTTTGGTCTGGCCGATATACTTTTAGAATTGTTCCACATAAAATATTCACTGATTCTAAGGTACTCACCTATTTAGGATTTGCGTAGGACACACTAGATAGTATTCGTGATATGAGTAATTGGGGTAACTAGAGTAACTAGAAACTGCATATTTTCTTGTACCTATATTTTCTTATAATTCGATATATTTTGATGCTTTTCTTCATTGTAATAAAGATATAAAAAGTCAAAGAAATGTAGTCAAATTACTGGAATAGTTTTCTTGATATTCTATATTAATCTACTAGACATTTCTCAATGAACGCCTTCTGAAATGTTCTTTTAATAATTAGTGTAGAAAATAAATGTTCACCAGAAAGTGGCAAAAATTCATTTCAGTCACTTCTGAACAAAGACAGTAAAAATAACAATCCTCATATCTGAAGGAAGACCAAAGCTTTGAGAACAATTGTTATTTTTTTCAATAAAATACACCGCACTTGAAACTTTACATGAATTTCAAAATTTGTGATGAATAAATGCTTGAGTCTCAAGAAATCAACCCCAAACAATTACCGAAACATTTTCCTGGAAGATCTCCATCCAGTGTATATCCAACGGATTTACTTCAACAAGCACCAGAATGATATTTACAATTTTTCACAAGAAACAATAAAGAACCCTTTCAGACGGAATATGAAAGTATATGTGGAAGTGGATTGAATTCTTTTTAGTTGATTACGGTAGTCAATTTGGATAATGGGCAGATGTTTGATATATGCAGGCCTTCTAAGTGTATTACAGAGATAGTGATAGGACACGTAGTATTGATGACGACGTCCGACCTCAGAGGCATGGAAGCAGGGTGGAGAAAGGCGATACAAACGTGGTTCACTTTGTTAACTTTAGTACCTGGATTTCTAGAAGGATTTCACACTCCATAATGGTATTAAGTGCCACATCATCTTTTAGATCTTTTGATTACAGAAATTTTTCATATACATAACTGTTCTATACTCAATATGGTTAAAATTATTATGCCAAAATGACAAGATCGCCATTCCTTCATTTTCACAAAACCTACTCAAGTTGACTGCCAATCCATATGCGACTATCTAGTTTTTTGCTTCTTGAGAACCGGCTACTTTCTTCCAGTCCCTGAAAAATACTGCAACATCACTGAAATCAATTCTTCATCAGTTTCTCAGGGAGTTTATTATCCGTCTCCAGTACATTCATCAGCATTTCTCTGATTATTGAATGTCCCGGCACCCAGTCGAGAGATAATTATCTCTCGACTGATTATAATCAGGTACACCAGTTTCTCCAATTTTAATGACACACCCAGACCAATTTTGATGTCATTGAGTAGGGAAATATCGCCAGCGGAAGCAATACACATATCTGGGAAGAAGTGAAATATGTCGTTGATATAAATGATGAGCAGTAGTGATCCCAGGACGGAATCCTGAGATACCCCCATCGTTTGGAAATGATTCCGCTGACTGAAGCATATTGCTGCCTGACAAGTAGGATTTGAAAATATTAGGTGGTTCTCCTCTCACGCCGTAGCTTTGTCAACAGTAGCTGATTGAGAACACATTCGGAGGCTTTGATAGTTACAGAATATTATTCAACTGACTCAGCTCCCCCAACTATCCTTTCCACTGCCTTGCTTTAAGCTTGTACTGTGGATATGTCAGTACGAAAGCTAAACTGATAACCGTTGTTTGTGTAATTTTTGAAAAAAAAAAAGAGTTCAAACAGCTATTCAGTTTTCTGGTACGAAATTTAGGTTAAG